TGCGGGAAGACATATATATGTGTGTGCATGCGTGCGTGCGTGTATGTGTGTGTGTGTGTGCATGTGTGTGTGCCGTGTGCGTGGGTGGGTGGGTCGCCGCCGCAATTAGAGGGGAGGGAGGGTGCACGTGCGCGCATGACAGCCAGCGAAACGTAGCGAGTCGCTCCAAGGCAGCAGCCATCAACATGCTACATCCCACCACACCCTACAAAACAGCCCCAAACGCATCACCGAGCGCGAGAAACGGGGGGAAGGGGCGCCCCCTCACCTCCTGCCGCGGGACCCGCTGGTGCTGGATCCACTAGGGCTGCTCCGGCTGGCCCCGCGCCGCGACCGCGACCGCTTCGCGCGCCCGCCGCCTCTCCGCCCCCGCGACCGGCTGCGGCTGCGGCTGCTGCCGCCGCTGCTGCCGCTGCTGCTGCGGGAGCGGCCGCTACCGCGGCGGAGCGCGCTGCGGCCGCGGCGCTCCGAGACTGGGGCCGCGGCAGGAGGGGCGGATGTGGCGGGCGGGGGCGACGCCCCTGTGGGGTCTTGTGCAGCTGGGAGTTGAGGATCCTTGGACTCGATGCCAGGGCCTGCGGTGCGTTTGAACGCAGCCAGCGGCTTCAGAGCGCAGGCAGGCGCGGCACAGCGGCACAGGCGCCAGCAGACTCGACGGCATGGCGCGTGCGTGCAATGGATATAGCAGCAGGCCTGGCCCTCGCAGGCGAGAGCCGCGCTTGTGCGCCATATGTTCTGTTGAGAAAATACGATCAGCGCGACAGCATGCCCAAAGAGACCGCGGGCTGCACAGAACGATAGTCGACCTCTACCCAGGCCACTCGCCTGGGGTCTCGGTCGGTATCTCCGCCATCGTCTTGGGAAATTCGAAGCACGAGGGCGGCCTGCTACCTCAAGTAACGCCGGCGTGATCACACACTCCTCAGATCAACCCAAGCACAATCCAGAGCGTGAGACGGGCTCCTCCATGACTTTCATATTGCTCTACAAAAACTCTACAATCACTGCAAGCGCCGTGGCTGGCGCCAGGAGCCGGGCATTTGCGATCTCGGCGGCAACGCAAGGTGCAAGGTTCACGAGAAGCGGGGAGTTTTGTGCGTGTCTGAACAGGATACAACGGCAACCGTAGATGTTGCGTGGCGCAGTCAGAGTGCAGTCAACCCACATCGAGTGACGCGGTGACATGTACGGGACTTTGCACCGCTCTAGAGCTGCCAGGTAAATGCAATTGAGTTCGAAAGTGCATGCCCCCTTAGACCCACAAATAGCACGTGTTGGACTCCAGCATGCACATCAGGTGCCAGCAGTTCTTGAGCTGCCGACAGGAGCAGTCAAAAACCCAGAGCCAGCCACGTGCAGCAGCTGCCCCAAAGAACCTTGGTGCACTGGATTTCGTGGAGGCCACGTGTTACCAGCAGGAAGAATAACCAAAGTGCATGCACAGAGCCTGGCTCGCACCCTCCAGCAGCTGCTGCGCAGCGACGGCTTCCTCACCTGCCCCGGCGCCGCCGACACTGCCTCCCTGCCCCAGCCCTGCGGCCTGGTAGGCCAGAACCATCGTGAGCCAGCCCTGCCGCAGGCGCTCGTGCGCCGCCGCCGCGCCGGCCGCCCCGAAGTGGCGCTCCACAACATCCGCCGCCGCGCCCGCCGCCTCAACAGCCAGCCGGAGCATGTGAGGCGCGGCGCTGCGCGGGCTCAGCGCTGGAGGCAGCGCGGCCGCCGCCCCCTCGGCAAGGCGCCGCCACGCCTCGAGTGCCAAGGCGTGAACCGGCGTGTCGGCGCCGGCCGCCGTCGCCGCCGCCGCAGCAGCAGCGGCGTCCTCCGCAGTGGGGACGCCCGCTGCTTCGGCCGCCGCCGCCGCGAGCCGCGCGTGGGTCCGCCCCAGCAGCTGATTGTGAGGGTGCAGCGCCTCGCGTCTCAGGTCGCGCGCACGGAGTAGCTGCGAGGCAGCTGCCTCCGCCTCTCTCTGGCGGGCGGGCCTGTCAAGCTTGGCGGCAGCCGCGGGGTCGGCGGCCGCCGCCATAGCGTCGCACGCGCCCTCCTCCGCAGCCGCCGCTTCCTCCAGGCGTCGCAGCGTGGGACGCAGCCAATCTGTCGGCAGCTCCCGGCCGCACGCCGCACAGCAGACGCCGCCCATGCCGGCTGGCAGAGACGGCGGCGCCTGGGCGCCTTCTATGCAGAACAGGCCTGGCGGCAGCGCTTGCCACGCGGCTGGCGGCGGGACGGCCCCTGTGCAGGACGGCAAGGGGTGTGTTTTGGGGGTGTCGCCCGCAACACAACTGGGCCTGTTGCAGTGGGGCCTCTTGCAATGAGGAGGCGAGCTTTCTTCTCAGCACTGCTGTCACGTGTCAAAATGCAAGGCCTATCCCAATTCATCAATTCCAAGGTGCAAACTGTGTTGTGCAAGCTGGCCACCAGCCGCGATCAACCAAGACCCCAGACCTGAAACCCTGATAAGTGCAACCAGCGACACCCTCACCGCAGCAGGAAGGAGCCCGGCACCGAAGCCCGCCCGCCGCCGCCTCGGCCGCCGCGTCCGGCGCCGCACATGCGCGGCAGCCGCAGCAGAAGCCGTACTGACGCAGCAGCGCCGCGCGACGCGCCGCCGCGGGTGCGGCGCCCAGCTGCGGGCCGTAGCTGATAGTCAGCTCCTCCCCAGGCGCGGCGGCGCGCGCCGCGCGCAGGACGAGGCGGCCACGGCGGAACCTCCGGTCGACAAGCGGCGAAGGAGCGGTGGCGAAAGGTGTGGCTCGTGCGGCGCACCCAAGCAGGGTTGGTGACAGATACAAGGATGCAGAGGCAGGTCGCAGCCAGGATCGTCGCAGCAGCCAAAAACCGCATGCTGCTTCAATACATGCCTATCCACAGAGGCGAGCGTGGCGGCGCCACGGCCGCTCACCTAATGGAGCAGTTTGGGTCGCAGCTGTGGTTCAGGGTCGCCGCGGCGAGCGGGTACAGCCCAAGCCCCAGCCGCTCCCCCTCGCCGCCGTACCGGTCCGGCCGCACTGCCATGCCGCACGCGGCCGCGCGGCCGAGCGCCAGCCATGCTCTGCGCGCGGACGCCTGCGGGACCGTCTCGTCGAGTCGGACCTCCTCGCGCGGCTGCGCACCCAGCGAAACGTGCCCCTCAATGGCAGCCATGAGACAGGCGAGTACCGCCCTCCAAAGCAGCGCCTCCCTCTCCAGATCCAGATCACGGCCCCCCACTGCGGCGACGCGGCGGACGTCTCCAGGCGCGAGGGCGGCGGAAGCTGCCGCGCAGCCGCCGTCCCCGGCTGGCAAGCTGGCCAGCAGGTCTGCGTGCTCGAGCGCCGCCGCTGGCGGCATGAGTCCTGGCAGCATCCTCTGCTGACTGGTTGGACCTCCCAGGTGTGTGCAAATCCCTTGCGCCCCTGCCCCGGCGCGCGCCCTCAGCAGCTCCTCCGCGGCCATCAGGCGTGCTGCTAGCCACGCCTCTGGCGGCAGCAGCAGCGCCCACGGCCGCCCGCACTCGCCGAGGGTCGCCGCGGCGTGCAGCCAGGAGTCAGACGCCCTGCACGCCGCAGAACAGTACGCGGCCGCCGCGCAGCCGCCGCACGGCAGCGGGGCCGCGCCCAGCGGCCCGAGGCAGCGCCAGCAGGCGCGGCGGCGAGCGGACTTGGCGGGCGCGACTGCCAAAGGTGCCTCGGTGAAGAGGTCTGTGCCTGCGGGGATGCGGCGTGCGGCCACCAGGCGCCGCCCCGAGGCAGGAGAGAACTGCACACGCACCAGCGGTGACAACTCAGTTGCTGCTGCTTCTCTTGCTGCTGGTGTTGCCGCTGCTGCTTGAGGTGGGCGTTGTTTTGAGGGGCCAAGGGCGAGGTGTGCCTGCAGCAGCAAGCGGTCTAGGGCCGCAAGGCTGGGGCCTGAGGGCGGCTCGTTCTGCTCCTCCTGCTGCTGCTGCTGCTCCCGCTGCTGGACCGCCTCCTCGCGTTGCTGGTGCTGCTGCTGCTGCTGCTGCTGCTGCCGCTGCTGCGGCTCGTAGGCGTTATCCTGCCCCTCGTCTGGCTGCTGTTCCACCTCGTACACTCGGCCCTGCTGCTGCTGCTGCTGCTGCTGCTGCTGCTGCTGCTGCTGCTGCTGCTGCTGTATATCGTGAGCAAGGGCCTCCACTTCTGCCGCGGCCCGCTCGTCCCCTGCGCCCAGCCGCCGCAGCGCCGCGGCGCAGTCCTCCTTTGCAGCCTCAAGCTCTCCTAGGACCTGCCGCGCAGCTGCTCGCCGGAACAGCGCCTGAGAAATGGGGAAAACATCGGGCGCGTGTCTGCTGCGCATCCTTTACGGTGTGTGTGTGTGTGTGTGTGTGTGTGTGTGTGTGTGTGTGTGTTTGTGTGTGTGTGTGAGCACGATGACCTGCGTCGCCGCACACAGCAGCCAATGGACCACTCTGAGACCCAAAGGGGGGTCATGGTGCAGTCTTGGCCCGCAGACCCACCTTCAGGGACAGGCTATGTGTGGTCGGCAGGGTGTTGAGCACCTCAGTCGCATCCACCTCTGCCCCAGCTGCCGCAGCTCGCCAGTTGACCCTGGGCCCTGCCGAGCGGCCGCCGTCGGTCGCTGTGGCGCCACTGGCTTGCTGCTCCTGCTGCGACCGCTGCTGCTGTTGCCGCGCTACACACAGCAGCGCTTGCGCCCGATTGCAGTGCAGCGCCGCTGCGCGCTCTGCGTCACCCCCTGGTTGCAGGCGCAGCGCAGCTGAATACGCGTCAATCGCCGCCTCCAGGGCGCCGCCCCTGAATAGGCCGTTCGCCTCCTCTTTCAGACTCAGCGCGGCCCCTGAATCCTTGGCACAGCCCTGAGTTTAGCATGGTAGCGCGTGCGCGGGGCGGCATTCAACATGGCGCCGGGACTGGTCGGGTGAGTTGAAGCGGGGGCACCCAGCGTCGCATTGACAGCTGTTGGTGCTCGCCTCCTGCCATGGACAGGCTGCATATACTGCATGTAATCAGGCAGGCTGGCACTTGCATTATGACGCACGCACATACCTCAACATCGCCTGCGGTCGCCTGGCGGATGGCGCGCCAGAACGCCGGCGAGCGGCGCAGCAGCTGCCGGGCGCGATCAAGGACGGCTTGGGCGTCGAGGCGCTCGAGGCCATCAGCAAAGGTCTTGTCAGCAGCAAGATATGCCTGCAGTTCCTGCAGCATGGCTACCTGGCAGCAGCCGCTTGGCGCCGTGAAAGCGCAGGCGCGTCGCAAGCATGAGAGCACACCCACCGGGCGTCACTGCAGCTGGCACAGGCACAGAAGGCTGCTGTTGCCGGCCAATTGAAATTAAGCAATTACTGAATTAAATCACATGTTATTCAATCGCTTTTGCAACCGCTTGGGTTTCCGCTGATCTCGCGTCGCGTCGAGTTCCAGCCTTTGCATGGCCGCGCTGCTGTGCAAGCAGGTGCACAACAGGTGCACCTTGCTCGCGGGTCGTCGTCTGGCCAGGGCGCATCAGCAAGTGGTTGCAATGGCGGCGAGCAGCGTGGCTGGACAGCGCAGTGTGGCGGACGCGCTTCAGGATGTTGCGCAGCGGGTGGAGGCCGCCGGCAGCAAGGCGGGGCGCGCCAAGCCGGTGAGACGCACTTAATGATCTTGCATTGGCCGGTGCCGCGGGCTCATGCGGCCCATACGCATAGATGCGCCACACCTTCCGGACGCAGCCGTTGCGATGGTGGGGGACTGATCGTGCATCCCCCCGAGCCCATGTAGCCGCCTCTGACCCTATCTGCCAATGCTGCATCGTCCCATGCACACGTGCATTATCGCGCAGCCGCGGCTGGTCGCCGTGAGCAAGACCAAGCCTGCAGAGGCGGTGCGCGAGGCGTACGATGCAGGGCACCGCACATTCGGGGAGAATTACGTGCAGGTGGGGGCGGTGGGCGGTGTGGGAGTACTTGGGCAGTGGCTCAACTATCATGCATCCCTCGGGGCTTGCAGTTTGCTTGTGGGTTCTTCAAGCTTTTGCAAAGCAAGCAGTGGACGGCAGTTGGACGGCAGTTTTCTCGTGTGTCTGGTGCGCCTCCACGCTTGCTGACAACGCCAGCTGCCCCAATGCCCCGTTTTTGGTCTGGCGGGCCATACCGCGCGCACTATGGCACATGAATTTGCCATTGGCTCTGCCAGTTGCTGCCACAGTCGCCCGCCCACACGTCCCGGCCCTCTCGACCCCATTTGCTGAAAGGAACTTTTGGACAAGGCGCCGCTGCTGCCATCTGACATCCAGTGGCACTTCATTGGACACCTGCAGTCAAACAAGGTCAGCTGCTCCCTGGTCCCGCTGGAATACATGGGTGATTCTCCACTGACCGCAGCCGCTGGACAAAGGATGCAGCGGGTTGGGCACAGCGGCGCGCTTCCCGCATTCACATTCAATTTCTGGTTGTCCCCCCTGAGTTCTGAGCAGCAGCCGCCTTGCCACAAACCCCGCAGGTCAAGGCTCTGGTGGAGGGGGTGCCAAATCTCAGCATGATTGAGACAGTCGACAGCGCAAAGGTGAGAGTGATGGCCACGTGGTCTCTGCAGTGGCAAGAACAGCGTGGGGGAGGGCAGAGAAGCAAGTCATGCTCACAAGCCGCGTCGCAGCTGTGGCGTTTGCGCAGCAGGGCGTCGGGTATGGTTTAGCAGGTGGTGAATTGGTTCCAGCTGTTCATTTGGGTGTCACCCTGGGGCTTGCGCGACAAAGGAAAAGGGGCTCAAGGGATTGGGGCAATAGGAAGAAGTGTGATTCAGCTGGGTTGAGGACTGGCAGACCTGCCTGCCGTGTGCCGACAAAACGCTTGCTGAATGCATGTTTCTCACAGTGCACGTTTCTCTTGAGCAAGGGTGCCGCCAATTAGCGAGTGCCGCGTCCCGCCCCGCGACCTCCCTCCTCGCAGCTGGCGGACAGGATTGACAGATGCGTGGCCGGCGCCGGCCGCAAGGAACCCCTGGCTGTGGCTGTGCAGGTGTGCTGCAACTCGCGCCCCGCGCCTTGCACTCCTGAAAAAGGCTTCACCACGAGCGCACGTCATGCCCCTGCGCTGCTCGTGTCGTGTTGCAGAAGCGCTGAGCAACTGGTAGGGCCGTTCAATGACCGCCACAGGCTGTTCTCCAGCCACCATGCAGCGCTGGGAGCCGCAGCATCCTTTGTCACACCACAGCGTCTCGGCCGCCGCACATGCGGCATCTGTCGGCGTTTAACGTTGTGGATACAGATCACTCACCTCCTTTCTACCGCCCATTTCTTCCAGGTCAACACCAGCGGGGAGGAGTCAAAGTATGGCGTAGAACCTGCCGATGTCGTCGCGCTGGCCACGCACGTGGCCAAGGCGTGCCCGCACCTGCGGCTGGCGGGGCTGATGACGATCGGCATGCCTGATTACTCGTCGCGGCCCGAGAACTTCGAATGCCTGGCAAAGTGCAGGTGGGTGGGGCGGCGCCGCTGTCGATGACAGGGGCTGTTGCATATGCCCCAGAGTGAGCACGCGGCTGGGTGATTTGCACATGTGCAGGGAGCAACAGCGAGCGAGCACCTTGACGTGGGCGGGCCTGCGCTGGTGCACGTGTTGGGTATGCGGCCAGTCGCAGGCCGCGTAGGAGCCACCCCTGTGCAAATCTCGCACACCGCTGAGCGTCCTCCCGCACCAGTATCGCCGCCCGCCCGCCTCCCTCCCCTCACCGCACGGCCGGCCGGCAGGGACGAGGTGGCCGCGGCTCTGGGCATGAGCCCTGATGATCTGGAGCTGAGCATGGGGATGTCTGGGGACTTTGAGGCCGCGGTGAGAATGGGCGATGGGGGGCCGCTGCCGAGAGCCTGATAACGGCGATCTCAGGGGAATGCTGCAATGCAGGCATCCTCTATGTGGTGGTCCTGAGGGCACCCCGGCGCCTCCTTGAATTCTAAGCAAAACGGCTGTCAGGAAGCTCTCATGTTACTCTGCATTACGGCCCTGGCGGGCGCAGCTCAAACGCAGCGCCTGCTCCTGACTCCGCGCACCGCGTGCGGCCCGCTTCACGCCTTGTGACGTCCGCCCAGATCGCCATGGGGTCAACCAACGTGCGCGTGGGCTCAACGATTTTTGGTGCCCGGGACTACAGCGCCAAGAAGTGATGAGCAGGCCCTAGGATTATTGCAGCAGCATCAATGCCATCAGAAGCTCCGCAGCCGTTCCATACATGATTTTTTTTGCAGAGTGTGTCGTGCTGCAGAGGGCACTGGTTGGAGCATTGCTGGCAGTGCGTTGGGGCAGGAGGGAGCCGTCACAAGTGCTGCCAGCGGGCGCAGCGGATTAAGATTGAGCCTGCCGCACCGCCGCGTCATTCACTGCGCTGAAAACATGTGCAGTGGCTGCGGGCGCGTCATTACATTGGACCAATCATGCCAAAGGCTGCCTGCCTGGCGGCCTTGTAAAACGGCCGGCCCCTTGCTGCTGGGGATGCTGACATCCAGTTGTAGTGCCTTGTCAACGTTCAAGGCAACACACTGGAGGCAGGTCAATAGCCTGGGTGTTTCAATACCCGATTGAATGGGCAAATACGGCCGCAGCCTCCCTGAGGACAGCATTGCTGACCCGCCCCCTGCTTCCCGCCATTGCGCCTGACGTGATCTGGCACCGCATGCTCAGAACCGTTGTTGCGCAGTATCACCGGTAAGCTCGCTCTGATACTTTTTCAAGCGTCTTAGATACAGTGTTTGGATCTGTCGGATCTACACGAGTGGTGCTCGCCTGGCGCGGACATGCTGCTACCAACCGGAGATGTGCTGCTCCTCATCCTTGAGCGCGTAGCCGTGGCCGACGTGCTGTCCTTAGGAGCGACCTGCAGAGGTAAGCTCGCAAGGCGCCTCCCATCCGCTCGCCCGCTGTCGGTGCGTCCGCCGCCCGCCACACACCTGGCGTCCGCCATCAGGCGCAGACAGCCTGCATGCGCCTGGTTCCCGTCCCTCCCACAGCTCTGCGAGATGTGACGGGCGACGACCTCTTCTGGCGCGGCCTGGCGGAGCGCAAGTGGGGCGCGCGCGCGCTGGAGCTGCGGCCGCCGGGCGCCGAGGGCGGCGCAAGCTGGAAGGCGTACGCGACAAAGCGTATGAACCTCCGGACCATCAGGTGCGCCCTCTGATTCTATGCAGCTCAACAACAATCAACCTTCTCGCGCCGGCGCTCGCATCCCCTTCAGCCAAGCGCATGCCGCCACTGCATCAGGTTGCCGGGGCCGCTTGCGTCCCCCTCCGCAGGCGATCCCCTCTGGAGCTGGGCCAAGAGAGTTACCCGGACCCCTGGATGCACATGATCTGCTGCGTGCTTTGCAGGCAAGCCGGGAGGCTAGAACTGTGCGAGTTGGGAGACATGCGAAATGGGAAAAGGGTCGCCTGGCCATTGCTGCACGTGGTCAAGGGTCAAGCCGCAGGCTGCGGCCCTGTGACAGACGGCAAAAAGCCACCTGCAATCGGGAGCGCATGGATGCTGCCGGCTCAACCCCTTGAGCACGGGGCGGCCGGCTGCCCAATTCTACTCGTGCCTGCTGGACACCGTGGTTATGACCCGCCCATCCCATTTCGCTCCGAAACTGCGCTTATGCGCCCATATCGATTGCGCATCACCTCCATACGGACCCCGTTCCTCACTGGCAACACCTCCCTCGAAACGCAGCCGCACCTCGGGCTCGGCCATCGTCCGCGACACCATCACCCGCTTCTTCGCCGTCCTACCCAATCCAACCGCCGTCCTGGACGCGCCCGATGACGTCATCATCGACGTCATCAACCCCCTGGGCCTGCAGCCCAACCGCCTGCGCGCCGTCCGCAGCATCTCTGAGGGATTCCTGGGGACAGACTGGGAGGATCCGACGGAGTTCTATGGGTGCGGCAAATTCGTGGCGGACTCCTGGCGCATCTTCTGCCGCGGAGATGTGTCTGGGGCAGGTGAGGGTTCCGCCTTGCGGCAGGGCACGTTTTGGCATGGGCAGGAGGGTGGGCCTGATGTCAGCAGGGCGCTCTGACGAGCGTCTGGCGCTTGAAGGACCTTGATACACCGCAATGCTTGTACACAGGCTGTGAACGGCACATTGTGCCCCAGCACAGCACCGCATGCATGGAACCCCGCGCCCGCCCGCTTCTCGTGCAGGCGTGGAGGACCGGAATCTCAAGGCTTACGCGGCCTGGGCCAGGCGCGCTGCCGCTGGGCAGGCGGGCGGCGCTGGATCAGCGGGCTCTGAGGAGGAAGCAGACGTGGCTGGGCGGGGCGGCCCCGGCGGGAAGGATGAACGCCATGCTGTCAAGGACACCGAGCGGGCGCGGCGAAAGGCGCGCAGGGAGGAGGTTGCGGCCATGGCAGGGACCGCGGGCGCGGTCCGCACCCGGGCAAAGCGGGGTGCGGACGCAGAAGCGGGAGCGGCGGCCGCAGCACAGGCGCCGCTGAAGCAGCAGCGCAGGGCGGCGGTGGCGGCGCCGTCAGCTCCTGCGCCGGCGGCGCCGGCCCGCAAGCTGCGCAGCAGCGGCGGCGAGGGGGCGGATGTTGGGAGGGGCGGCGATCAGCAAGATCCGCGGCGGCGCGGCGCTGGGGCGGCGCCGGCCAAGGGCACGGGCCGGAAGTCTTTCGGCGTAGGCGGGCGGGTTGAAGCCAAGGGCGTCAAGCGCGGCGGCCGCAACGCGGCGAGCGGGGCAGCAGCGGTGGTAGCCGCGAGGTAGTCGCGTCGACATTGCGCTGGCACTCTGCTTACTGTGCATTAAATGACTGTTGCATGCAAATCTGAGGTTGGCCCACATTGCGGTCTTGTGGAGGGGTTGTACAGGGAGGGGAAAAAACTTTGCAGCGCCGAGGGAGTCCGGAATGTCGTCCTTTCGCGGCAGAGTGCCGCGGTCCTTTTGGTGACGGCATTGAGAAACTGCGAGATCGTGCCGCCATTTCGAGTGATTGATGCAACGTTGCCATTTACAGAGAGTTGGCAGTAATTCAGCATTGGACAATTTTTGCCAGTACAATGTTGTAGAAGAGTTGTACAACGGGGACCAGACTGAGTGCTCGTGACGCTGGCATTTGCCCCGCTCCGCTGGTCAACACAGCTTTGACCGCACAGGCAGGAGCAACATGGCGTCGAACAAGTGAAATCATATACACTGTGTACACAAGACTAGCATAACAGCGGTCTTGCAGTCCGCTCGAATGAAAAAGTGTGTGTGGTTCCCTTCAAGGCTGATTCACCAGGGGCGTCTGACAAGAAACGACGAAGCCTGCAGGCCGGGCTGCAACTAGTTATGTGCTACCCCATTGCTTAGATGTGGTCCCAATGTTGCATCTAGGAGGTCGATCGCTGTTGCTAAGAGTCGCAGTTTGGCTTTGTTGGAATCTTTGCTGCCGGCGGCTGCAGATGAGCAACAAATACAATGTTGATGGATTGACCATTGCATTGGGACTCTTGTTTTCATTCATAGCGCTGCCTTCCTGGCACCGTCGACACGATGATCACATGGGTCGTCCTGCTGCTCGTGGCTTCCACGGCCGCCCTCGATCCAACGAGCCGCAAGACTGTAGATATTGGACTACATGATCCGGTCGACGGTGCATTTGAGGTGCCTCGCCTACCTGGCTATGATGGCGAGCTGCCGTCGCGCCACCGTGCCGGGTGAGCACGCACGAGCTGGCGCCGCACAGAGGACAGCAGCGCGTCGATGGCTCGGCAATGTGACGGCCTACAGACCCACACGATCAATTCGTTGCTCGGCGCCGCATGCAGAGCAATGCACATTGTTTGGGCTGGGTGCATCCGGTCCGAGCGAGCGAGTCGGCAGGACGCTGCCGTCTACGGGCCGCACGCGCTGTGTCTCACATTCCATTCAAACACCGGCCACCGCCGCAGCTACGTGACCGTCGCGCCGGACGTTGGGCGGCGCCTTTATTACTACCTGGTCGGATCTGAGTCACCGACCGCGGACGACGACCCCTTGGTGATCTGGCTGACCGGCGGCCCAGGCTGCAGCAGCCTCGACGCTTTTACCTATGAGAACGGGCCCTTTATCTTCGAGCTTTCCACAAGTGCGGGTGCGGGCCAAGGTGGAGGTGCAGAAGGGTGGACGGGCAGGGGCTGCTTGACAAGACAGGGAGCAGTCTGGGTCGGCGGCCGTGCGGCGAGTTGCATGCCGGCCTTGCGGCAGGCAACCCCTGGCCCGCCAGCCAAGAGCTGGCACAGGGACAGCCAAGGACAGGATTTTCCAATGCTGCTCGCCACACCTCCCGAGATATCGTGCAGGCGAACAGGCAGCCGCTCAAAGATGGCGAATGCCAGCGGCCCCCCCACTCGGATAGCTGATGCGTTACGAGGCCGCCCCCACGGCCCCCCGGCTGCCATGCAGGCCCCGCCCACCACGGCCGCGCGCCCTCTGCCGCGGACGTGTCGCTGCGGCGCAACCCCTACTCGTGGTCGCGCGAGGCTCATGTGCTATATGTTGACTCACCGGCCGGCACTGGCATGTCCTACTCCCTCGAGGCACCAGAGGTGGGCTTGTTATCATATCGCTGCGTTAGCAGGTTTATACCACTCGATGAGGGGCACGTGGAGGGGTAATTTTGGATTATGCAATCACCACTAGCAGTAACCGCGTTCTCTCGGACGTGTCACGCGCAGCAGATTGAGCCGCAAGCCCCCAACCCTGCCACGTGACACACTCACACACACACGCACACTCTCACTAATCAACACACCAGGATGGTTACTACACCGACGACCACCAGACTGTGGACGACCTGCTGGCCCTGGTGCTGGGGGTCCTGAGCGACGTGCCCGACATGAGGGGGCGAGACGTTTACATAGCGGGTGCGTGCGTGTGCAGCGTGCGACGAGGGGCAACCCCCGCTGCTGATGGGGAGGGCTGTGGGGTGCACTGGTCTGATAACAAGGGCCAAGGGCCCTGTGGGTCGGCTTGGTCCCTCGCTGTGGGGCCTTGATGTTGAATGCTCGCTGTGGGGCCTGGAATTTGAAAAGTCACGAGCACGCATGTGATGAGCCGTTTGTTGCTGTGAGCCCTGTATTGACCTTGTAATACCGAGTTGAAGCCTGGACTCACCTTCAATTTGACTGCACGCCTATGTCACGATGTTTCATCTGCCCAGGGGAGTCCTACGGCGGCGTTTATGTGCCGCTGCTGGCTGAGCGCATTCTGCGGCACAACAAGGACCTGGCGGCGCAGCAGGAGGGTCAGCGCAAGGACAAGGCAACCCTGCCCAACCAGCAGCCGCACCAGCAGCAGCAGCAGCAGCCGCAACACCAGCAGCAGCAGCAGCAGCAGCAGCATGATCAGTCCAGCCGCGGCATCCTGCGGCGGTGGCTCTTGTCCAGCAACAGCCAGGCTCGCAGCTTACAAGCAGGCAGCAGCGGCAGCAGCGGCGGCGGCGGCGGCAGCAGCACAGGCAGCAGCGGGGTCAGGGTGGGGCGTGACTTGGCGCTCGACCACCACCACAGGGTGGACCTGGTGGGCTACATGGTGGGGAACGGTGTGACTGATGACCAAGTGGACGGTGACAGCCTGGTGAGTGCGGCCTGGCGGTCGGCTGGCGGGGGACGCGGCTTGGAGGGCAGGTCGCTGGTGGCTCCTGGGCGCATGTGTGATTTTTGGGGGCGTCCAGTGGCAGACTGGTGCGGAATGCGTTCTGGACTCAGCGGAGCGCGAGGGCTTGTGGGGCGCTTGGGCATTCAAGCAGTAGATCAGGACAGCTGCTCCTGCCTGCACGGACGGGCATCGGCTGAGCGTCAACCCCGCTGACCACGCCTCCAGGTCCCTTACGCCTGGGACGCTGGCCTGCTCGATAAGGACACTCACGATTTCGTGAACCGCGCCTGCAACGGCTCCTACTGGGATGTAAAAAAGGGCACCGCCTGCTGGGACGCCTTGGACGTGGTGGATGCTGCCATCGGCGACATCAACCCCTACGACACCCTCAGCCCCTGCTTCTTCCCGCGTGCCAAGCCCCACGCCGGCACGGCCGCGAGCGAGGCCGTCAGCGTCAGCGGCCCGAGGGCTGCGTGGCCGCGTAGCCCGCGTTTCCCAGCGGGGCAACCAGTGTCCAACTGGTGGACGGTGTCCGGTGCAGAGGGTCAGGGTGCGCTGGGGGTCGAGGTTGCCACAGGCGGCGCGGAGGAGGGGGGGCTGAGCGAGGGTGAGCAGCATGATGCGCGCGGCATGCTGGGGCACACGATCCCGTGTGCGGACAGGCGGGCGGCGCTGGCATACTACAACGATCCCGAAGTGCGGCGCGCCATCCACGCCGCACCCCACCGCGCCGCCGGCAGGTGCGGGTTTGCGGCGTGGAGAGGGTTTGGGTCGCCGATGCACGGCAGCTTGGGGATGGAGGGGGTTTGCCATGTATGGCGACAATTCACGGGGCTGCGCAAGCCGGTCTGCTGCTTGCCTGGCGAGCGTGCAAACCACGCATGCACGCGCGCACGCACGCACGCGCGCGCACACACACACACACACACACACACACACACACACACACACACACACACAAAAACACACAAATATTACATATGCGTGTACAAGTGTCAGTGCCAACCACCCCCACAACCCCAACTCACCCCGCCAGATGGGAGCCCTGCAGCGACGTTCTGCACTACACCCACACAGCACCCAGCATGATCCCAGTCCACAGGCGCCTGATCGCGGCCGGACTGCGCGGGCTGGTTTTCAGCGGACTGCAGGACTACGTCGTACCCTTCACTGGCAGCCGCAAGTGGGTGGCCGGCCTGGGGCTGCCCACGCAGCTGCCCTGGCGCCCTTGGAAGCTCGGCAGGCAGGTGGCAGGCCATGCGGTCAGGTACAGGGCTGAGGGGGAGGGGCCGCTCACGTATGCGACGGTGATTGGGGCGGGACACATGGTGCCGCAGACGCGGCCGCGGTCGGCGCTTGCGCTGCTGCGCGCTTTCCTGAGGCGCGAGGTTTGACGGCACTGTTTGGGGGCTTTTGCACGCGGTGGGCGTGAACCCGCGCTATTTTTGCAAATATTATATCTGGACTCCGTGATGACTCGAGTGAACTTGCAGATGGCAGACTTTGCACAGCCTGCTTGTGCGCCTGTCCCTTTTGATGTCTGTCAATCCAAGTTCTTGGAACGCTATGCTGTCATTGCGCGCGGCTAGCAATGTAACAGATGCCGACATGGGCACAAGTTGATTGAATACAAAGATGTGGCAATGTCAATGCCGATCGGCGACTCGCATGTCAAGGTCAACGCAAGTCAAAGCCAACAACTTGGTGTTAGATCGGTCTCGCGATCATCCACCCAATCGCCACACGCAAATGAATTTCGGAAGGTAAATCATGCGCATCTTGCCCACACAAGGGCCGCAGACCGTTGTACACGCTGCAGATCTGGGTGTGAGCTCTGGACGTGAAAGACTTGAGAGGTTCGGTATCGGTTTGTATATTTTCACATATGATGGTTAAGACATCAGACGTCAGACGTCAGACAATCGTCGTTGCCTCCGAGATCGTCCTGCGTGCCTTCATGCCTCGGGCGTGTTCGTCCGCCGTCGACATGTTGCTGACACGGGCAGTGATCGAGCCAGTGGCGCGCATATGTTGGCAGCCACGACCTCAGAAGCGATGCACCGACCCCAACGGCGCATCTAGTGATGCAGGAGCGCAGCATGGGGTGGCGCCACGTGAGCGCCGCACCCATGCTAGGCCGCGCCAACAGGTGGCTGGCCCTGTCCATGTGCGCTGCACTCATCCTGGCATCCGGGCAGTTGGGCGCGGTCGCTCAAGCACAGCAGGAGCAACAGCCGCAAACAGGCGGCAACGGCCAAGGCGGCAGGCCCGAGTCGCCACTGGCGGCGCCCCAACCGCCGCCGCAGGCGCCCGCGCCCGCCCAACTGCCCGCGGCCGGGCCTGGGGCGCCGCAACCAGGGGCCGGGGGCGAGGCGGTGGCGCCGGCGGCATCTCAGGGCACAGGTCAGCTAGCCAGCGCCCAGGGCCAAGAGCAGCAAGAGGTTCAGGAGGGAGGGCAAGCTGTGCAAGCGCAGGCGGGCCCGTCCGAGCAAGGTGGGGTAGGCGAACAAGGTGCGCCCAAGCGGCCGCCGGTGGGTTTCCTGCGCACATATGGCATAATGCCGAGGCGGGGCGCATGGCAGCAGCAGCTGCGGCGAACCCGGTTGTGTCGTCACACAGTCCCTGCCTGAGGTCAGAGCTCTGAGTTTAGGGGTTAGGGCACGGCGCCGATGCAACTTCCCCCTCCTGCTGTGGTTGTCATGCCCCCACCACGGGGTGACCTTTTGCCACCGCAGGCGTGGGTGACGGGTGCCCCGTTTCTCCGGTGCTCGTTTCGCCCTCTGCCGCCGGCTGGCTGCCCGCGCCGCCGCCGGCAGTGAGGTGCCCCCTCGAACTCTTCCTGGTGGTGGGGACGCTGCCAACGGCCGCAGCGGCAGGGTCAGGCGGCGATGGCAACGGCAGCGGCAGCAGCGGCAGTGGCGGCAGAGGCGGGACGTGCGCATCCTTTCTAATTAGAAACAACTACCCAGTGAGTGGATGTTTGGGCCGCTGCTGATGGATGAATGGGCCTCGGCTGGGTGGTCTCAACAGCGGCTGCGGCCAGCGGCTGCAGACAGCGGCAGCGGCCTCGCAAATGCAACAATCTGACACGGGCTGCTGACAGCGAGGGTACGGGGCAGCATTTAGAAGCTTTCCGAAACCGCTCGAGACGCTTTTGAAGGAGTGCTTGCAATATTGCTGGTCACTTTTGTTAGCATTAGCAGCTGGCGGCATGCAGCCAAAACCCCATGCAATCGCCACAGTAGCCAAAAGAATGCTTTACTGCACCCAAACCCCCTACCAGAGCCCGCTGTACTCATGGCAGCTAGCCTGGGAGAGCGGCGGCGGCGGGGCCGCGGCCGTAAGGAGCGTGCGTGGCGCGCAGCTCGTCGGCCTGGGAGGTGCGCTAGAACCCCCCGAGCTGGCAGCCGCCTGTTGCTCTGGCGCTCTGCACTCTTGAGCGCACGAGTGCAACACGGTGTCCCCAAGTGTTGATAACAGGCGTTTTCCGCGTGCACGTTTCCGTTTACCGCAGCCGCTCGATTTGCACCATCTTGCCTCGCGGCCCTCATCCCAGGCGACGGTTCTCCGGCTCGCATCGTCAGCGGCGGGGTGGACGCGCCCATCAAGGAGCTGGGGGGCACCAGGAACTTCACAGCCCGGCTGACGGCGCAGCCAGCGGCGGCCGTCACCCCCAGTAACAGCTCAGCACCAGCGGTTGCTGCCGGTGGCACCACAGCACCGGCGGCTGCGGCTCTGGCGGCGCCGCGGCTGGTGGGGGTGTATTTGAATGGTTTGTTCTGCACTCAGCTGCAGCAGCAGCTGCAGGAGGCGGGGGAGTGCACGGATGTGGCGCAAGCGCAACATCAGCAGCAGCAGCAGCAGCAGCAGCAGCAGCAGCAGCAGCAGCAGAACGCCAGCAATTATGAGGTTGTCGCAAGCGGCGCCGCCGGCGCCGCCAGCGCGCCGCTCTCCGGCTGCATCTCACAATTTTGCTGCGGCATGGAGGCCGGCCCCGGCACGGTGGCTGCGGTGGCTGCAAATGGTACCACAGTCAAAGCGCTCGGCGGGCCGCGCGGGGACGACGATGGCGGCGGCACCAATCTGACAAACAGCCTTTCCCCGGATTCAGCCGGCGGGGCTGCACTGCAGATCAGCGGCAACTTGGCTGGCGCGTTGGCCAACGCAACGCGACAGTCCGCCAGCGCGGCAACAGCAGCTGCTGCCGCAGCCACGGCAGCAGCGCCCACGCCGCCATTTCAAAAAGGTCCCGCCTTCCTGGCAGCCGCAAGCGCTAGCGGCTCGGGCGGCATAACCACAACCACGGGCGGCGGCGACAGTGGCGGCGGGCGCGTCAATCTCATTGCTACGGTGGGGCTTACTGTCTCAATCGTGGTCGCGCTGGCGGCGGCCGTGGCCGCCGGCGCGTGGCTGGCGCTCAGGCGGCGCCGCAGCAGGACTGGCAGGCCTGCCACGGGCTCACTCGGGGCGGCGCTGGCGCCCCGCGCGACCGCAGGGATTACGAGGCGGCTGCATGGCCTGCTGCCCCCGTGGCGGTCGCGGCCGTCGGATGCGGGGCATGCGCAGCGCAGCCCCGCGCGCGGGATGGTGCAAGGTGCGCTAAGCGCCAACCAGCCGCTCAGCTGAGTGATGCCCTTGCTCCATCAACGCGTTACATGTGTGTCTTGGACGCTCGAAAAGGGCTGTCGGGCTTGAGCCTTGTCGCGCGACTGCATGCAATACAAGCAGCACCTTGGCACCCTTCATTCCCCCCCTGTGTGCCCAAGAACATCAACACCCACGCAAACCCCTGTCTGGCCTGCCCATACCTCAACCCGGCAGGCCGAGCCTTGCGCTCATCTGTTTCTGTCGCTGAGCCCCTGCTGAGCCCCGCCGGCATGCCTTCCATGAGTGCCAGTCGTGTCGTCGTCGCCGTCGGCGGCCCGCGGCGCGTGCAGCTACTGCTGCCGCCGCCGCCTGGCGGCGTGGTGCGGTCCCAGAGCCTGCCCCTTCGGATTCTGGATCACCAGGGGGACGGCAGGTGGGAAAATGAGATGCTATACGCCATCAGGCTTTGGCACTGCCAGCCTTTGCTGCACTGGGAAGTGGGGGGCCGGTGCTGGACGCCGCCTACATTCGTCATCCCTCAGCGCCAAACCTAGTGTTTGCCAGCTCAACATCCTTCTAACGGACTCCTGTTCCATCCATTTACTCCCCCCCCCCCACACACACACACAATCATCTATATTTAAACAAACGAACATGGCACACACTCACACTCGACCGCCAACCGGAACGTCGGGCCGCTCCACCCCCTGCCACTAGCGCAGCAGCAGCAGCAGCGACTCTTTGCTGTTCCGCAGCACCAGCAGTCCGGGAACACTCCAGTCCGCCGCAGCTGCCCGGCAGCTTCAGAGCGCGGCGTCTGCGGGGCTACTGCTCCCACCCAACAGCTGCGGCGCGAGCACCGCGCCGCCCACCGGCTCGCCCCCGATCGGCTCACCGAGCCAGCGAGCGCAGACAGCCGCGGCGGCCGCGGCAGCGGCGGCGGCGCTCGCGCCGCTGGCGGCGGCGACCGCGCTGCGGTCCGTTGCAAGCGCGCCGCTGCCGGCGGCGCCGCTGACGAGGCCGGCGGTTGTGGAGATGACCGGCTCGTCGCTCGGGCTCGGCCGCTCCCCTTTGAGCCGGTCCGGGAGCATTGGGGTCCGTCTTACGGCACACAGCCCAGCCCCTGATGCGGCCATGGGCAGCCCGCCATCGAGCCGCTCGCCGCCGCCGCGGCCGCCGCACCCGATGGCGGCACGCATGCGCGCCCAGCAGCCTGCCGCGACCAGCAACGAGGCTGACGCTAGCGGCGGCGGCGGCGGCGGTAGCCGCGCCCCCCCAAACCCGCCCGTGGGGGCGAGGGCCGAGGGAGGTCCCGTGGCACGGCGTCTCCCTCCAGCTGCCGCTGCGAGGGCTGCCAGATTGACTCCCACGTCACCCCTGTCGGATTACATAAGCGACTCCACGTCAACGAGCCACGACTCGTGGCAGCAGCAGCTGGCAGAACGGCAGCTGCTCGAGGAGCAGCCGGTGGGTTCTATTTCAGAGGGGCCAGGCTTTCAGCATGGTGGTTTGTGGGGGTGTTGAAAAACGCACGTGCCTGGCGTGCGGCCCGCACAAAGGCAGGCTGAGCGCACGTGGCCGGTCGGCCTCCGTCAGCCTGGCCGCTGGGCTTGTGCCTCCTTGACTTCCAGACCGCCAGATCAGTCTCCGCGGATCTGAAGTAAGTCAAATCAACGGCCATATACCCACTCGTCTACAACCCACAACGCCACCTGCAGGGCTGGCTGTCCATAGACTTTGCCACAGAGGTGGCTCTGGAGCGGAAGCTTGGGGAGGGCGGCTTTGGCTGCGTGTGGTCGGCCAGGTGAGCTTGCTGCAAGTGCACACGGCTGCGCGGTGAAGTTCCAAGTGCAGAAAGAAGTAAGGATGTTTCAGGATTATTGGTAGAGCTGCTGTGTCTGTTTGGCGAGATTTTCCTTGGAATGCCCATGATGACATAAACCTGATAATGCTGCAACAGTGCTGATGGCGAGATTCGTCTCTCGCCACACCTGCCAGGTGGCGGGGCGAGCTGGTGGCCGTCAAGATGGTGCCGGTGATGTCACTCGCCCCGGCGGCTGCAGCCGCTTCGACCGCCGCGCTCGCGCCCGCGACCCCGCCGCTGCCGGCGCCGGCGACGCCGGATGCGCCGCTCCAGACGGCCGCAGGTGGCGCCGCAACACCAGATGCCTCAATCACTGAAGCGTCCGCCACAGAGGGGCGCCAGAGCGGCAGCAGCGCAGCTTCTCGCAGCTCCTCATCTGCGGAGGCCGCGGCCCCACGGCCAGCTGCAAGCGAGGCGGCGTCCAAGCCTGCGGCGGCCGCGGCGGCTGCGTCCGCGTCTGCTGTCGCGGCGCTGAGCGCCCACATCAGCGCCAGCTCTGTGAGGGCCATCAGACAGGAAATCAAGTGAGCGGCTGGCTGGGCTGTCGAGGAAAGGCTCAGCAAAGTGCTGAGGCAGGATAGCCCGGAGAACTGTGACAAGAAGGTTTTATGGGCTCTCACACCGACGGCTGCGGCGGGCCCTCCGGGGCAGCGGCGGCCCAGATATGGGGCCAACGGCTGCAGGCACCAATTGGCACCAGTGCGCTGCAGGCACCAGTGCACGCCATCCAGCAAATTGTTTGCTCTTCTGTGAGCCACAAATCACCATGCCTTACCCAGTATGTGAAAATCGGAAGCCTCCCCCTCTGCAGGGTGCTGTCGTCACTGTCTCACCCGCGCATCGTGTCGTTCCTGGGGGCCTGCCTGGCGCCCCCAAACATCTGCATACTAGAGGAATTGGCTCAGGTGGGGATGTGTGTGTGGAAGGGATCACACATGCGCTTGGCAGGCGCAGATCTTTGCTGCGACTGTTGTCCTGTTGCCCCCTCAAGTCTGGAGTTGTGCTGTCTACAGCTGCTGGGCAGCTTCATAGCGAGTACGCA